TCTTTTCCTCCAGCCCTGACCACCTCTGATCGCTCACAGATCACCCGAGTGGCGGAAACACACCTCGCATCCAGCCGATTGCCTCGCAACGGCGAGCGGCCAGAGCGGACGCTGCGGCGCAGCAACTCTAGGTTCCTGTGCTCCAAGACACCAGACCTCTCCTCCATCCCGCAAATGTCAACCCCAACCGCTAGCCTCACGGCTGGCGGTGGCGGCGGTATTTCCCCGTCCTTGAGCAGCGCCAACATTGCAGCGGCAGCCCAAGCAGCGGCAGCGGCAATGGGTACATCCTCGGGCGCGGGAGCTGCTCACAGCGGAGAGCACGAGATGAGCGGCATTTTGAAGCTGCGCCGCGTGTCTGAAACTCTCACCGAACTGTTCAGCACCGCTGGTAAGGGGAAGAATGCAGTGTGCCTGTAGCGCCGCACCTTCCCTACACATGTTTATTGCCCTTTCTCAGTACCCCCCCCCCCCCCCTTGTTCCATGCCATTCTCCCACCTGTTCCTCCCCTTTCTTGCTACACTACTCGTCCACTTCCCCTTTCTCCTCTTGCAGACCAATACATGAAAAGTAGTCGAATCACACCGTGTTTGTTTGTTTTTGCGAATCCTTCCAAGAAGCAAATGCTGGGTTTTTTATACATCGTGTAATTACTCAGCGTTATTTGCAATAATAAATATAATGTAGAAAGGAAAAGGACATTATGGATACGAGTTAAGAGCAATTCTCCATCACTGTAATTGGATACTATATACAGTCAGAAAGTGCAATAACTAGGCACAAAACTGACAGAGTACTGAGACATTTGACGTCCTGACACTTTCTTACCTTATATAGTATCCAGTTACAGTGATGGGGAGTTGCTCTTAACTCGTATCCATATGTCCTTTTCCTTTCTACATTTATTTATGGCTCAACATCCGAGTTTCAAATAAATATAATGATAATAAAAAGTCGAATCACACCACACCTTCATTATATACATGTAGCGCTGGTTGACTCACATCCAGCATTCGGATTTAAGCTCAGGGGCGATTTTGAGTTGTTCTCGGCGCTTGTAAGTGCAGCCAACACCCAGGAAAATAGGATATATCTTAACACAGAGTACGTACTAAGTGAGTTCCACTCTATAAAAGATATGCAGTACACGTCACATAGTATGTTTGCCACTCAAAGTTCTTCTATATATGGGGTTTCTGTACGCACTTAACCCATATATGGGCATCTTGCCACTCAGCTAGCTCTCTTATAAGGCGGATTTTGTCGTCATTGCATATTGCCCATGTGTTTTGTGTATTTAGATCCGCTTGGAAGGCTCAAGCGTCAGAATTCCACTTCACCGCCCACGCCCGGGGGTGGCTCGCGCACTGCATCACCACTGGAGGACAACAGGCCGGGCAGTCAGCTGGACGAGGATATTGTTCTCAATGTCGGCGTGGTGGCCGAGGTAGAGCCCATTCTCAGGTTTCTGCAGCTGCTGTGCGAGACGCACAACCACAAATTGCAGGTAAGACGTGTGTGGTGTAGTTTATAATGGTGTTGTGTGCTGGAGGATGAGGGCCAGGGCAGGGGAGGGGGGCAAGGGCAGGGATGGACCTGGCTAGTTTGGCAAATGTATCTGTGGGTAGGAGTGTGCGTGCCGCATGCTATTTAATGCATGCATTGATGTGCAATTTGCGTAGCTACCTCGGCCTGCACAGGTACAGTGTGGCATGGGTGGCAGTACCTTGTGGTTCACATCCAGAGCGTGTATGTTATGTTGTACAGCCTCCATTGCTCGCATACCGTACGTGTGTCCTGTTCCTTCTCTGCTTGCATGATTTCTCCGCACATGCATGTCTTGACTATAATTATCTGTTCAAAGTGGCTCACATGACGCTGTTGTGGTGGCGGAAATATTCACATCGTCTTCTTTTCTTCCTGTTTTCCCGGACTGTACGCGCACGCGCACGTGTGTGTGTGTGTGTGTGTGTGTGTGTGTGTGTGTGTGCTTGCTTGCATGTGTGTGTGTGTGTGTGTGTGTGTGTTTGCTTGCACTGTAGAATTACATTCGCAAGCAGCATAACACACGCAACAGTTACAACATGATACACGCTACATTACAGCTGCTGTGTGCTATGTGCGGTGGTGCTACTGGCGGCATGGGATTGTTAGGTAAGCTTGCTGGTGTTGTTAGGTAAGCTTGCTGGTGTTGTTAGGTAAGCTTGCTGGTGTTGTTAGGTAAGCTTGCTGGTGTTGTTAGGTAAGCTTGCTGGTGTTGTTAGGTAAGCTTGCTGGTGTTGCTGGTGTTGGTGTTGTTGGTGAGATCTTATTTTGTATCGCTGACCAAATGGGGAGTGATTTGGTGTCTGTATTTCTGTCTTTCTGTCTGTCTTTCTGTCTGTCTGTGTGTCTGTCTGACTATCTGTCTGTCTGTCTGTCTGTCTGTCTATCTGTCTGTCTGTCTGTCTGTCTGTCTGTCTATCCGTCTGTCTGTCTGTCTTTCTGTCTGTATTTCTGTCTGTCTGTCTGTCCGTCTATCTGTCTGTTTGTATTTCTGTCTGTATGTCTGTCTGTCTGTCTGTCCGTCTATCTGTCCGTCTGTCTGTCCGTCTATCTGTCTATCCGTCTGCCTGTCCGTCTATCTGTCTGTCCGTATGTCTGTCTGTAAGAAGAGTCTGCTCGAAAGGTCAACTCAGTCGTGATCCCTTCTGTCCTTCTGTTCTATCTGCTACTTTTTGATGGGATCAAGTACCGGTTTGTGCTTGCTGTTTGTGCATCCTCTACTTGCTGTTTGTGCATCCTCGGCTTGATGTTGTTGTTGTTGTTGCAGGTTTGTTTGTGACCCAGGCCAAGGTGCCGTTGATCAACCAGTGCCTGGAGACGCTGACCGAGTATTGCCAGGGACCGTGTGCGGACAACCAGTCGGCCATTGCCAATCATGACAGCAACGGTATTGACATTGTCATCGCTGTCATGATGAACGACATTAGCCCACTGCAGGAGACTAACATCAACCTCGTACTGCAGCTCAAGGTAACTCTCTACTGCTCATGGAGGATCTTTTCACGAAATTTAATCATGCCACACGTGTATAAAACTGTATATCAGTTGAGCCGATATGAAGTTGATTGTGGTGTTTTCTTCTGCCACCGTATACCTTTATGTCAAGTTACGAGTGTTGTATCACCCCACCAAATTGACAGCGCTGTACGTATTGCTGCTGCTGCTCATACTGTTTTCATTGTTGTTTCAAATCTTTATTCTCACGATTGCCTATGGCCAATAAGAGATCGTAGAGTGAGATTTACATAGACGTCTTGCGACGCAAGATTAAAGGGAATTTCATGATTAGCAGTGAGCTAACTAGGCATTTGGGTTGTTGTTGTCACCATCGTCCTTGTCGCTGTCATTGTTATTGGTGTGATCGTTCTGTTCAGAACAACGCCAGCAAGTGCTTATTGGCTATCATGGAGAGTCGCCAGGACAGCATCCTGGCCGAGCGCATTACCCAGCGAATACAACCAGCAGATCTGGTAAGTGTTCACACACTGCAGACTGTGTGTATACATGGCAAGTATTTGCACACTTCAGATGATGTGTATACATGGCGAGTGTTCGCACACTGCAGACTGTGTGTTATGCATCTATGCATGGCAAGTGAGCAGAAGTGCTTAGATGCCCTGAAGCAGGACAACGGAGAACATTTCGCAGACGGCAGCTTGAACTTAAGCATTTGTTTGTATTGTTGTAGGTTATCGATATCCAGTCTATGCTACGCGCTGAGTGAGGCAAGCGCCAAAGTAAAGAACATTCAGGAGCGCCATAGGCTTGCACCTTATCGTTATGGCGCCTTGCTTGAGCGAACTCGCCCCGTGACTTTCTTGTTCTGTGATGCTTTGTTTGTTGTATTCAACGTCCATATGTGCGCGCTTCGTATATGCATTTGTTCGTGTGTGTGTTTCCGCAGCTCAACCTGTGTGTCAACGCTTTTGCAGCCGGCAAGGATAGCCGTTTTGTGGACGCTGACAGCGAAGACGCTTTGTCGGCAATAACAGTTGGCCATAATCTCTACATCTTAGCTCATCAGGTATTGTCAAAATGAGGGCTGGCATTTTTTTGTTTTTTTCTACAAAATCCACATACCTCCAGACTTATTATTATTATGTGCTTGTTCGCGTAGACATCAGCATGGCCTGCAGCTGCATTAATGGGCATGCAAATCACGCAAACCAGCCAAAAGTGTTCGCATAAGCCACTTCGAATAGATACAAAAGACCATAACAGTTTCATAAAAAGAAGAAATATGCGAAAAGAAGACAAAAACTAGGGTGCCGACACCACTCGGGCACAGATGCCCACCCAACCGCTTCGGTCAGCAGCAAGGGCACGGAACGCCTCCAGATCGACTTTGCTTGACAAGGAAAGTCCAATCCGCTTGGCATCATCTTGTAGTAGCGTTGGTAGTGTGTGTCTTGGTCGTCCCCTCCAGCCCGCTGGACGAGGCTCTGCGAAGTACGCTCCCATGGCCAGTGATGGTGGGGAGTCAGCCGGGAGCCGGAGGACGTGCCCAAAGAGCCTCCACCTAGCTCTCAAGATGATAATGCCGAGAGGAACCGCGCCGGTACGCTCATAGAGCCTCTCGTTCCTAATCCGATTCGGGAACACAATGCCGATTAGCGCCCGCAGCTGTTTTCGGTGGAAGGCCTCAATACGGCTCAGCTGCTGTTTCGTTGGTGCCCATGTTGCACAATTGTAGCAGAGTACAGGGAGTAAAAAGGCATTATAGAGCCGGATGCGGAGATCCTCCGGAACTAGCGACCTACGGATCCACAGCGTCCAGAGTTTACCAAAGGCAACAGTTGCCAGTTGCTGTCGCCGTAGCATATCCTCGGCATCACCTAATAGGGACCCGAGTTTCTTGGTGGTTCGCCACTCCTCCTCGATGCGATCAGTGTGCCGTTCGATGTGCGTGTGCTCTGTTTTGGTCTCATTCACTTTCAAATCCCATTCGAGGAGCTTGTTGGATATGGTTGGAAGGAGGGTCCTCAGCCTCTCACCATCAGTAGTCACGAAATCCACATCGTCGGCGTAGGCAGTTTCAGTTGGTAACCCCAGGGAGATATCGGCAGGGGGACGTGGTAGAAGAAGAGGCCGGACATCACGCAGCGCACCCTCAAGGTACACAATGAAAAGAACAGGAGACAACGAGTCACCTTGGGGTGTGCCGCGGAGAGTGGGGAATGACGGACCCTTAGCGGATGGGAGTACAACCCACAGTACGGTGTCCTGGAGGAGGTAACTGATCATTCGGATTTCATCCGGCTGCAAGAACGATCCCAGCACCGAGATGAGCCGTGGCCTGCTTATACAGTCAAACGCTTTTGACACATCAATGCCTAGGATATCCAGCGCACAGCGATAGCGTTGGCATCGAGCCGCCAACCATCGGTATGACCACACAACATCTGTGGTGCTTCTGCTGGGGCGGAAACCACTCTGTGTGTGTGCAACGAACACTGGGGTGAATAATGGAGTGTGGTGGTGGGGCCCATTAAGCTCCGCCGACCAGAGGTCTCGGCTTCATAGCCCCATTGCGGAGGTGTTTCCTTGCTTACAGGACACTTGCGAGCATAATTGACTTGTGATAACTGTGGCCAGGTTTTAAACATGTGTGTATATGGGTGTGGTTGTTTGTGTGTGTGTGTGTGTGTGTGTGTGTGCGTGTGTGTGCGTGTGCGTGCGTGGGTGCGTGCGTGGGTGTGGGTGGGTGTGTGTTGCATGCGTGCGTGCGTGCGTGCGTGCGTGCGTGCATGCGTGTGTGTGTGTGTGTGCGCGTGTGTCTCAATCTTGTGTAGTTATCACGTGATGACAAGGAGCTACAGTGTGCCATGAAGCTGTATCAGGACAGTGGCGATGAAGGCATCCTTTACTACCACCAACACACTGCACAGATTGAGGTAAGGTAGAGACTTGTTCTGCGAGCCGCCAGACGAGTGCTATACGCGTGAGCGGACTTTCTACTGTACCCCTATTGTGGTCTGCATGACTTGAGGTCGTGAGGTTTGTGCGGCTCACGGAAGCGTTGAGGTGGTGCGTGACATAGAAATACCTGCCTTGTATTGAAGCCTGTCTCATGTAGAAGCCTGGAAAATTTCCCCAAAAAGTCATAATATAAGCTGCGGCTTGGTGATGGTGATAATGACTGTGATCAAACATGACCACGTCGATTTATACAGCTTGTTTTGGTTGTATAAAACTACTGGTGGTGATGCAACATACACTGTGAGATCTAACGTTAGAAATGACAAGGCCTTATCGGAATCACCAGTGGCTCTGCTGTTGCTGAATGCATTGCACTGCCTACCGTATTCTCTATTGGTCCAGGTGTTCGCTTGTGTTCTGTTGCTGTTTTTTGTGCTCTATTGATAAGTGGGTTGTAGTAGGCTGTAGTACGTTACTTTGTGTACATCATGTGTATGCGGTGTTGGTGTGTGTGTGTTGCTGTTGTGTGAAAGCAGTCTTCTTTTGTGTTCTGTTATTGTTTGCTTGTGCTCTGGGCGTAGATTGTTCGTGAGGATCGTCGCATGGAGCAGATCGTGTTCCCAGTTCCCACCATCTGCAGCTACTTGACCAAGGACAGCAAGGACAAAGTCAAGGAGACTGTTGTCCCCGACAACCAGGGCAGCAAAGTGCCAGACTTTGCTAATCGTGTCGAGAAGCTCTTCATGGAGATGAAGTGGCAGAAGAACTTGAAAGGTAGGCAAGGCTGCTTGCCTTGCTTGCTTGGTGCCTGCCTGCCTGCCTGCCTGCCTGCCTGCCTGCCTGCCTGCCTGCCTGCCTGCCTGCCTGCCTGCCTGCCTGCCTGCCTGCCTGCCTGCCTGCCTGCCTGCCTGCCTGCCTGCCTGCCTGCCTGCCTGCATGCATGCCTGCCTGCCTGCCTGCCTGCATGCCTGCCTGCCTGCCTGCCTGCCTGCCTGCCTGCCTGCCTGCCTGCCTGCCTGCCTGCCTGCCTGCCTGCCTGCCTGTCAGGCTTGTGTTGTTGGTCTATTTTGGCTGGTTGTCCGCACATTTTGATAAGCTGTAAGCGTGGAGTGAGCACATGTTGTAGAGTTTGTGTACATCTACTTCGTTCTACATGACACTCAAGAGTATACTCTGTATGTGCACATGCGGGTATGTCTGGGTGCTGCTGCTGCTGTGTGCGTGTGTGTGTGTGTGTGTGTGTGTGCGTGTGTGTGTGTGCATGCGGGTGTGTGTGTGTGTATGTGTGTGACTGCGTGCGTGTGTCCACCAACATCCAGACCGGTCTCTTCTATACAGACTATGTCAAATGGAGAACGTCTGGTCACGTGCCTCCTTCATGCTGGCGGTCATCATCAATCTTGTTGTCGCCATCTTCTATCCGTTCGATAACTACCGAGAGTTTGTCGGAGGTTAGTATTCTCACTTGGTGCATTGCCTAGCTGCAATTCAATTTCATGTTGTGTTGAGTTGCTTGTTCCTAGTTCGTCAACAATGATGTGAAAGACTATAGAAACTCGTGCGTTGTGTCCGGCATCCCGAGTCTGGAATGTCAGAGTGATTCCGTTGCAAGCGCTGTGTTGAGTATGGCGCTGCTGTCGATCAGAAATTCCGTATTGACTCTTGGATAGAAAGTAGAAAGTTATTAGAAACCCTATTCGCGTGGCGTAATGGAGAATACAGTCATGTAGTATACCATAGGCCGAGGCCGAGGCGATTTTGACTGTGTATAGCGCATTGGACCGCATAGTGCACGGCCCTTTGGATCGTGTACGGCACCTTGGACCATGTATTTGTGTATTGTATTTTATTATTTTACTTGGGCATTCCCAACAGACCCCAAGGTCTTCTTACAGGGTGCCCAAACCATGTAAGGCACCTTGGACCATGTAAGGCACCTTGGATCGTGTAAGGCACCTTGGACCACGTAAGGCACCTTGGACCCTGTAAGGCACATTGAACCATGTAAGGCACCTTGGACCATGTAAGGCACCTTGGACCATGTAAGGCACCTTGGACCATGTACGGCACCTTGGACCATGTAAGGCACATTGGACTGCATAGAGCGCCGTGGACCGGATAGGGCTTCTGGACCTCCTTGCGCTCCTTACACTGCCCTTGGGCGTAGAACAACATCATAGGGAGCAATTGTTCACTGACATTATACTGACACGTGTATGTGTGTGTGTGTGTGTGTGTGTGTGTGTGTGTGTGTGTGTGTGTGTGTGTGTGTGTGTGTGTGTGTGTGTGTGTGTGTGTGTGTGTGTGTGTGTGTGTGTGTGTGTGTGTGTGTGTGTGTGTGTGTGTGTGTGTGTGTGTGTGTGTGTGTGTGTGTGTGTGTGTGTGTGTGTGTGTGTGTGTGTGTGTGTGTGTGTGTGTGTGTGTGTGTGTGTGTGTGTGTGTGTGTGCACGTGAACGTGAACGTGTACATGTGTGCGTGTGCATGTGTACGTTTGTGCGTGTACGTGTGTGCATGTGCATGTATCCACGTCTGTTTTACACTCACTCTGCTACATGCTACATGCCCACTCTCAGCCACGACAGTGTTCTTCCACATCTCCACACTGATCACCATGCTGGGCTGCTGCCTGTCACATGTCAAGTTTGGCAGTGGCGAAGCACTGTACCTATTCCTGTTCTGTCTGCTCTCCGAGATGATCATACACCTGGACGAGGGGAAGACTCTGTTCTTTCTTGCAGCCACTCAGGTAAGGATTCTACAGCACAGTAAAACCTGTGTTTGATTGGTCATATTCCACAATGGGAATCACTGGGAATCATTCTTGCCCGTTTGTTTGGTCAGGTGATGCTTACCCATTCCCATTCCAGAATGATTGTCATTTACATTCCGAAAATGCCCAACCAAACGCAACCTAAACCCTGTGTTTGCCGGACCCTGCACCAAGCGGAATCCTGTATTGACCGGGCAAATTGTCATGTGCTATGGATCGAGCTTGCATCCTTGGATCAAGCGGCATCCCGTCATATCGGGATAAGCTCCACTGCACCGAGGGCGTCGTCCGGTTAGGGCCGGTTTTACTGTACATGCGTGAACACAAGGATACGAAGAACTTCAGGACGACTTTATCTGCAGCTTCAAGTCTCGTTCACAGGAGTCAGAATGGCTTTGTTTCACGCTGGCCAGTCATTCGGCAGCATGATTGTTAGAAATCTCTGCACGTGTGTATTGATCACTGTGTGAGCAGTGGAAAGCACAGGTCATCTGCGTTGTGATACTCTGTTATTTGTCAGGTACTGGCACACATGTACTAGTATTGCACATAATTGTATGCATGTGTGTGTGTGTGTGTGTGTGTGTGTGTGCATGCGTACATGCCGGTGTGTGCATGCGTACATGCCTGTGTGTGCATGATTGAACTTCAAATTACTGTAAAAGCCATTATTCTAACGAGGCGCATATTATAACGATTTCCCCAAGTTGACTAGTTTACGTGTACCAAAGGTAACGATTCTCACTCATTCTCAACGCTCAATAGGACAGTATATGTATCGATTTCTGTATAACGATTTATTTCTATTTTATTGACAGATGTCTCCTCGTTAACTCGTTAGAGTTAGCACTTCATTATATATATGGCTTTTACAGTACAGAAAAACCTGTCAAAGGGGACCACTCGGATAAGGTGACCACCTGTCCTAGAAGACCATTGAAACCAGGACCAAGGGATGCTATGTCCAGCAAAACGACCCTGTATAAGGAGACCCCCTGGTAATAGAGACCGCCCTTTGAAGGTCCCTTGAGTGGTGGTCTTAGACAGGTTTCACTGTAAGTGATGTGTGCATGGGCACTTGCTGGTATGTGATGTGTGCATTCACGAGGTGTATCTGTACTTGCTTCTCCCGTTCTTCATCCACCCTGTGCTGCTGCTGCAGCTGCTCAACCGGTGCCTATGCGTGCTGGCGTTTCTCGGCAATCACGGCTTCTTCTACCACGAGGACACCGCCGTGCACAGCACAACACGCAGCGGTGGTGGC